TTACACGCATGAGACACTAACCGAATTTTCAAAACAGGCCAAGAAAACCAAGGCGCAATGCGAGCGCAACCCTCACGACGCCGTGGAGATTGAGTTCGACCAGTTCGCCGAGTTCGAGATCTGCGCCGCCAGCTTCACGCCCATCTACAGCGGCACCCCTTACGAGGAGTGTGCGTTTGACGGAGCCAAGTATCACACTAAGTACAAGGGCACGGTGTGCACGGTCTGCGAGGTTTGCGAGGTTGGAAAGCACGGTAGTGGCCTGAAGCTGTTTGCTTAAAAGCTTAAAAGGGGTGTTTGCGGTGATACGGAAGAAGAAGAAGAAGAAGAAGAAGAAGAGAGGGGATTTTGATGATGAAAGTTACAAGTAGCAGTTAAAGTACAGTTAAAGTAGGTATAATGATCGTCTTTGGTACCTCTGATTGGGGAGAGAAGAGAAAAGGGAAGACAAAATGGTTTTGTTAAATGCGTCTGTTGCATAATGATGATTGCTTGCTAATCAACTTGTGTTTGCTTGCTGTGGACCAAGTAAGTAGAGTCATGGTTCGCATGAACTGTCGATATATTATACCATGCTAGACACAAGCCATGATCGCAACTCATCATAGTCCATCTATGCATACATATAGGCGAGGCATGGAACACAACGATGGCTGTAATAGTGTATCTGTACGTGACCTCATGTTATGCCTATCTATGTAGCTAGCTCTCTAAGGAGCAAGTAAGGACCATCGTTTAAAAACGCTTGCATAAACCAACCGAACCCAGCCCAGCCATTCGTCTTTGTATTTCCCATTTCCTTTGCTTCTGATTCGTTTAGACAATCGTCTCCAACTCCCTAGCATAGCCCAGCGCATTCTCAATGACCAACTGGCTGAACGGCTTCTCCTGCTCGGCACCAGCCTCCTCCGCCGCCGGCTCAGCAGAGGGGAAGATGATGTGGCCGTCCTTGAGGACCCAGCCGCGGGAGCGGGCGAACTCGACCACTTCGCCCTCGGACTCGAGGAAGAGGAGAGACTTGGTGGAGGAGATGGGAAGCGAGGGGTAGGCGCGCTCGGAGGAGGAGGCGATTTCGGAGCGGATTTGGAAGGTGAGGATCTGTGGAGGAAGGAAGGAAGGAGAGAGAGTTAGCGATCATTTATCAAGGACTAGTTAGGACATTCGAGTGGAATATGATGAATGGAGGGGAGATGGGATGGGATGGGATAGGGAAAGGTGTAAAACGAGACACAACAAGAACTCACCTCAGAGAAAACTCCATACTCCTCACAAGGAACCTCCCCCTTCTTCATCGCCTTCCACACCCGATCATAGCTCCCCTCCATCAGCCACCGCTCCAACTTGATCGGATAACCCAGATACCTATCCGCCTCCAGCTCACTAACACCGCCCAACCTCGTGCTCAGCGCCTCCAGCTCGCTGTGGAACTCGGCATACTGTCCCTGCGTCAGCAGAAGCAGCAGATAAAGCCCAGTGACCTTGTTCTTCTCCTCCCTGTTCGCGTCCGGTCCCGCGATCCTGCCGCCAGCAGCACCGGTGCCGACGGTCCCCTCGAGTTCGTAGAAGCCCTGCAGCTGGCTGACGTAGCGCAGGAAGGCGTCGGGGTTCTTGGCGCGGATCGAGGCAAGCGCGCCTTGCTCGTAGACTTGGCGGGCGAGAGAGAAGAGCGAAGGGTTGGAGGCGGAGCCGGGCGCGGTCGGGGTCAGGGCGTTGAGTTGCAGGAGCAACAGCTTGGCTTTGGAGAGAAGGGCGGAGGAATCGGTGTAGGAGAGGGTGGAGGCGGAGGTTTGGAGTTGGGTGAGGATTTGGGTGAGTTGTCGTTCTGCCATTTTGGGCGGTTGTGTGGTCTGGTTGTGATCTGGGGATCGGGAATGTGTGTTTCGACGATTGCCGTTTGATGTTATGGGTAGCTCGTAGTTGAAGCTATCGCGGGCGGCAAATGGATGTGATGGTGTGGTGACTGGGTCTCGTTATTGGTATGGAGTGGAAGTCGTTATGGTATTAGGCCGGCGATGTGGTAAGGCTCGTCGTCGGGGAATTTGTTGTTGATACGTTTGGCTTGTCTTGGGAAACGAGGCGATGGGATGGAGGTACGTAGTGGTGTCGAGGCTGCGGTTGGATGCTGCTGTCTTGGGCGTCGCCGCGGCAGGCTGACGGGGTGACGTTTTGGTAAGTGGGAGCTGCAGCTTGCTTGGCATGCCGCTGCTGGGTTGAAGCTCCACGGCCCCGCCAGCTGCAGGCGATTGGAGCAGCTGGCCCGTGCGCGGTTTGTTCCTTCTCGGTGCAACAGCTTATCGCTACATAGCGTCTTGGATAGCGGCTTCCTAGTTCGCTGTACCTTGATGGCCAATTTACACTTTAACAATTAACACAGAAGGCACGAACGAGTTACACTTGACGGGGTCATGTTACGCCTTCCGCACATGGAGTCTGTGACATGTAATGGCAAGAACTCACATGATAAGGTTACAAGCTGCGCACTTGCCTGAAATGAAGAGAGTTGGAAATTTCTTTTGGAGAACTTGACTTGGTTCGACTTCCACGGTCAAAAACATGGCGAACTCTCCTCACTAATCTTCAGAATGTCATCCTTGGACACGAAAGACCTCCTACGACACCTACACCCTCGCTACTATCTCTTATTCCTACATCAAGGCCTCCCTTCTTCATTGCCTCCAGTCTCCTGCAAAGGAGATCTTGCTATCGGTCAAAACTACCTTGCGTCCGCAGGTTGGCCTCCCTATGCAAGCCGCCTACCTAACCTCAGCATATCCGGCCGCATCACCTTACCTTTCCGGAGCTGTGTATGGCGGTTAAGACGCAGATATCAACGACCACAATGACGTCCCTGGCGAAACGAAACCCGAACCACCAGGAGGGCAATGTCAAAGCCTCTCGCCCAAAAGGTATGTAGGTACTCATTTTTGAGTGCTGTTCTTATGGTGTTTGATCATATATGGCAATTCGTTCATATACACTACTACTTCCTTGACCCTTGTTCTTACACCAAGTGTTGAGGTTCGGGTTGACACTGGCTTTACTGGAATGTGAAAGTCTCACTGCACCGAGTCTTCGACGGACTTGGCAATTCAGGAGCCAAGGACGTCGAACATGAACTCCCAACGGCCGCCAAGTTGCCATCTGTATACCGTACACACCTCGCTCCAGAGTTGAAGAGTTGAAGCTCTCTAGGCTCTTGAGTTTTAGAAGAGAACCCGACAAGGAAGCCGGAATATGAAGGAGTTCAAGATCTGCGACCATCACTGCCATCTTCACTCTCGAAACGCCCTAGGAGGCGATTCAAAAATAGGGTAAGGCACCAAGCCACACTGCTGCCGCTGGATTCGGGCTGGTCCGCTGAGCCATGGAAGTGTGGACGCTGGTCACATCCCGTGCAAGACCCGGATTTGGCACACACACACCATCACCGAAAGAGCATTCTGGCACTGCATATTGTCCCAGGGGGCGTGAGCCAAGCAAGTGAGGCAAGCTCTCAAGACCTCCACCCTTGCCTGTCCAAGTCGTGGGTGCCCTACCTTACCTTGCTCGGTGCTATTTCATTTCATTGCGGACACGGCCCATTCGGTAACAAATAGCTTTCTGCGGGTCGCACTGCCTGGCTGTGTTGACCTGTCGTGAGATCACGGGCGCTCCCTTGGACACAGATAACTTTTGTCTTGCTCAAGTTCTCTTATAGGAAGCATTTCCCTCCTTTATCGAAATACTAAGCTCCTCCTAGCTGCTCTTTTCCTTTGACTTCCTCTGTCGTCGCAACCATTGACATTATCAAAGACACGAAGCCACTACAATCCCAGCATCCCAACGTCTAAGAAAGCTTCAGCTTGGCGCCCCTCCTGACTTGCTGAGGTTCCCCTGCAAACGTCCCCCGCAACCCCTCTCTCCCTTTCTCCCTTTGCGGCCATCTCAACGACGAAGCTTGCACCCACTAGAATACCATACGCTGCCTCTACATACCTACCTCTACCACGGCACCGAAAGTGGGCGAACCGCTGCTCACACTTAAGCTATCACTGTATGCTTTCGGACGGGGATTTGCCGTTGAAGTTGTCAGACCGGACAATTCAGACGAGCTGGCGCATGTGCTGACAGATTACGTTTTCGGGGAGCTTAATGCAGGCACGGCCAAGCCATCCGAACCATTGTCACCACTGTTGCCCCTGTTCCTATTTACAGGAAGCGACTCCCCCGATATGCCGACCTTGGGCGCAACATTTGTCCCTGGAGGCTATGATGATTATTTCATGCCCGAAGTTGTCGCCCCAGCCCCGCAACGGTAAGCCTGTTCCTTTCCCTCCTACAAGATCCCCAATTTGTCTGCAAATTATCAATCTTTGTTTTGCGCTGTCGGGTCCGATCAAGTAATATTAGACGCGCGGCGCAAAACCCGGAGTTGCATGGCTTGCGAAATGACGGATCTGCTACAAGGCTCCGCCAGCAGGTGGAAAAGGGCTGAGTGGAGGGCTGAGCCGCTGGAACGGCGAGCGCTGAGAGGCTGACGGTCATGTTTCGATATCTTTCTACAGGGTAATGCCAGAGGTGCCTCAAAACATGCAAGAGGACATCCAACGCATGGAACTCGAAGCTCGTGAAGTCGATCCTCGAAAGAACAACAACGCCATCGGTAGTGGAAAGAACAACGACCAACAGCAAGACACAAAGACGTAAGTGCTCAGGCCCTGATTCCCACCGACCGGCCCGCCCAGGGGAAGGGATCCATCCATACCGGTACGCTGGCTTCCAGCAGAGTTCCAGGATCACTCTGGGTGGGGCTTTTATGCGCATATGGCACATGTCGATGCGCTGTATACTGTACCGCAGTATATAAATGCAAGGGACCTGCTGCTGACGGATTGCCCACTGGGCACCAAACAGGTTCAAGCCTTTCCAACGAAGCACCGGCGCCCCGTCGACAGCCATGGACGCGCCCTCGTTCTCCCCTTTCCCCAAGGTCAAGGGCGAGAACATCCCTCCGAGCGACGAGGAGAAGGAAGAGATCCTCTACCAGGCCCGCACCCTGGTCCTCCACTCCAACAATGTCTCGATGCAGGTGACATGGGCGCGCGACTCGCTGATTTGGGTCGACATAGCCCAAGAGGCCGCCGCCAAAGAGTGGAAGCGCGATGGAAAGGGAAGGGAACGACCGTCGACCCCCACGACAGAGCACGAATTGCGCGTCGACGCTCTCAACATCATCGAGTACCTCGCAAGTCAAGATCATCCCGAGGCGACCTTTATGAAGGGAAAATGGCTAGAGTTTGGCAAATTTGGTTATCGCGAGAACAAACGGGAGGCCTACGCCCACTACAAGAGGGCGGCAGAGAACGGATACGGTAGGGCCGAATACCGCATGGGCATGCTCTACGAAAACTCCAACGACATCCCCAACGCCATCAAGCATTACGAGGCCGGCGTGAGGATGAAGGATACCGCCTCCAACTACCGATTAGGCATGATACACCTCATGGGCCAGCATGGCTTCCACAAGGATATTCTGCAGGGCCTCGACATGATTCAGCTTGCAGCCGACACGGCCGATGAGGACTCCCCGCAGGGCGCTTATGTGTACGGCTTGCTTCTTTCACGGGAGCTTCCCGACATCACCGTCCCCGAAGACATCCTGCCGTTCGATTTGGTCGTCGCTCGTCAGTATATCGAGAAGGCGGCATATCTAGGCTTTCCCAAGGCGCAGCTAAAGATGGGCCAAGCGTATGAGCTCAGTCAGCTCGGATGCGACTTCAATCCAACCTACTCCCTTCATTACTACGGCCTTGCTGCCCGCCAGGGACAAAGCGAAGCCGCATTGGGTGTCAGCAGGTGGTTTTTGTTCGGCTTCGAGGGTGCCTTTTCCAAAAATGAGGCACTCGCGTACAAGTACGCTCTGGATGCAGCCAACGCCGGCCTAGCGACAGGCGAGTTCGCTATGGGATACTATCATGAAATAGGTATTCATGTTCAAAAGAATGTCGTCGAGGCACGAAAGTGGTACGAAAAGGCGGCTGAGCACGGAAACAAGGATGCCATGAGCAGACTGGATTCATTGAGCCAGTCCAAGACGCTGACGAAGCAGGACCACGAAACAACCACACTTACGCGTATCAAGTCCCAGCACGGCTCGCAGCGTGGCAAGCGCCCTGATCGGTTTACCAGGCCTGCGGACGTGTTGCCTACTTTGAGTGAGGGTGATCCCGGCGGTAACGCGCCTGCAGTTCCTGTCAAAGCGTCTCAGGGACCGCCAATCGTTCACGATGCGGTTGACTTTCCGGATCCTGCGCGAAACTCCAATAGGCCGCCCGCCTTTACGGTCAATTTTGATTCGAACCCGAACCTGAACCTGACTTTGCGGTCCAAGTCTACGGCACCGTATCCCGAAGACACTAGGCCTCCACCGCTCAGAGCGCGTACTAACACGGCCCCGTATCCGGAAGACGATATGCACCATCCTGCTCCTCCACCACACATGCAGCAGAACTATCTGTCAGCGAAACCCCTAGCACCTCATTTCAACCCTGGCATCCGCCCGTCGTCAAGCTCCGGCGGTCCACATGCCGACCGGCCGATGAGCGCTTTCGGGATCCGGTCCAACTCTCCCAACGGTCCTTCTGTACCACAAGGCGCCGGCCCACAAGGTCCCGGCCCTCGAGGCCGAGTCCCTCCAGGGGCAGTTGGAGCTTGGGAACCACAGGTTTCATCCGGGTACAGACAGCCCAGCCCGGGTTCTGGACCTGGCTCCGGCCCTCAACCTGGCTACAGACAAAATAGCTATCACCCTCCACTTGATGTTGGTCCTGGACCCTCGCCACAGCGGATGAGTGGAGGTGCTGGACCTGGCATTCCGCCCTCCCCTGTACCTATTGGCGACCCCATGAGACAGAGACTGCAGAAGCCCAACCCCAATGCTGGCAATTATCCTTCGGCTCAGCAGGCTGGAGGTGCCATGCATAGTCCTCAACAAAGTCCAGGCCTTCCGCCCGTAATGAGCGGTGGCGCACAGCCAGGCTATGGTCCCAGGACAAGTAGCAGACCAAACAACGATGCTCATGGTTATGGACAGGCTGCTCCTCCTATGCCTGGGCGCTTCCCAACCGGCACTCCGGTCGGCACTCCGACGGGCGGAAACGGTGGTCCTATGCCAAGGCCGGAGAGATTGGAGAGTCTGGCTGCCGGAGGCAGACCCGGCTCAAGTGGAGGTCAAGGTACACCTGGACCTGGAATCGGAAGGATAGCAAGCGCACCGCCAGTACAGCAACCCCAGCCGCCTCAACCGCATAGTAGGCCGACCCATAGCCCCGGGCCTTCAGCGAGCCCGGCGCCGAGTGCAGCCAGTACGACAAGACTGCCTGGGCACGGGGCAGCTGGTGGAAAATCCAACACTGAGCATCCCGATGGCAAGACTATTGGAAATGGACCTGCTACCTTTGAGGAGATGGGCATTCCGCAAGGAAAGAATGATAGCGACTGCGTAAGTCATACATGTCAATTGCCTTTGCTTTCTTGTTTTCTGCGAATTCTAACCCTTTTTAAAACAGGTTGTGATGTAAAGTCGCGAGGTGCGCTTCTTACGCTGTTAGGATGTGATACCCAACCTGTAGCTCCATAATCATTGCGTTTAGTTTGCAGGGAGTTGACGGAGTTGTGCTTGCATATTCAAATGGGTGGCCTGTTTGCTGGTTTACTACTGTTGGATGGAAGGCTGGGGCTATCAGAATTATGCCTGCGTGAACTCGGGTAGAGCTGTTAGTCCTCTTTGTTCCGTGCGCAGTGGAAAGTACACAATTGAGAACCGCAATGAGAAAACCGAGTACAACTAAAATATCTACAAAGGAGTGCGAAATGGGTACCATACGTGGCGCTCTACTCTTCTGACTTTGCCTGTTTGTTAGAAGACTTCCTGCTGGGTGGACTGTAGTGTGATCGAGATTTTCATCTGAAGCATAGCGACCACTTACAAGGAATAAAGTAGGATGCTGGCGCTGAATGGTGTTTGCCCTCAATGTTTAGACAACTACATACGGCTTCTCCTTATACGCGCACGCACTCACAGATAATATCCAACTCGCTTTTATTTTACACGAAAACCCAAATGCTCTACGCAGAAAAACATCCGGTATGTGCAAGTCGGCCGGTAAGGAAGTTGCAGTCCTCTCCAACTACTCAAGCAGTACCCATCCCAACAAGCTCGCCACCTCCAAACGATAATCCAGCCTCTCCACCAGCAGCCGAAGCCTTCGCCCTTCTGCCCTGCCCAAGTTCTGTCATAATCCACTCATAAATGGCCCACTGCACAGCGTTGACGATGAAGGCCCTGACACTACAGACGGCCAACCCCCTAAAGAAGGGTTTGACCCCGCCCTCTCTGTAGGTCAACTTGGCCACCTCCCAAGCTCCCAAAGGCCTTCCACTTTGCTTCCGCTGGTTCTGAGTGGTTGTCGTCCTGTCCAAGAGCGCAGTATGTTCCCCCTGGGAGGTTGTTTCGATAATACCCAACGAACCCGAAGCAAAAGTCCCTTGGGTTTGAACCCTCGTCTTGATCACGTCCAGCGGGAAGATGCTCAACCAAGTGACGATGCCCGCTAGGCCACCGCAGAGAAGGACGCGGGCTGCTTCGGAGGTGAAGATACCGCCGCCGCCACCACCACCCTCGTGAGAAGAAGAAGAAGAAGAGGAGGAGGAAGAGGAAGATGACGAGGAGGAAGAAGCAGCAATCATCCACCTCGAACTCAACTCATAACTCCAGAAATAAAATCCATACCCAATACTATCCCTCAACGCCGTCACCAGCCCGCCAAAGTACAGTCCCCTAACCCCTTCAGTGCGGATGATGGACTTGGTTACTTGCCACGATGATGATGAGCCTTTCTCCCTACTTCCAGCACCTATCCTCCCCCCATCCACTCCCACTCCCACTCCCACTCCTTGCCCCTGGCCCTGCTGCCCCCGCCCCTGCCCCCGCCCCTGAAGTTGAACCCGACACTTGACCAACTCCGTAGGCGTGCTAACTACCCAAGTAGCCAGTCCACCTACGGCTCCGGCAATCCAGGTACTCCAGAGGTTGACGCCCGTTTGTTGTGAAGAAGGCAGAGAAGAAGGGTCTATCCCGAAAACGAACTGGTTGAGAGCGGACTCGGTCCGGTTGTAGGAGACGAATAACAGGGCGTTGAGGGCGCCGTAGTCGAGGACCGGGGCGGCGGTGCCGCGCAGGAAGGGCCGGATCCAGTTTGTTGCTGCTGCTGTTGTACCACCTGTTGAGGCTTGTGGTGATGATGGTGATGGTGGTGAGATGGTTGAGTTCGGGGTTGGTGGGGGTAGGGAAGAAGATGATGATGATGAAATAGAGGAGGAATATGAGATGGAGGATGAGGCAGCAGAGGAAGAAGAAGCACCGGCTTGGAGTCGGACTTTGAGAATGTCGAGCGGGTTGCCGATGACGATGCCGATGGCACCGGAGATGTATCCGGCCCAGAAGTCGGCAGACATGGTATGGTTCCGTTGGTACCACGACCACGGCGGCCGTAGGGCTGAAGTCTGTGTCTTGGTGGCTGGCTGGCTGGCTGCAGGTATCGTGAGCCAATGATCTGCTGCGCTGCCTCTATGATTCAGACACCCGCTTGTCTTGGTCCCTGGAACACTGGATGATGTGCAGGCAATGGAACCTGCAGCGCTTCAGCTTCAGCTTCCACCCAGCGCTTGAGGCTCCTGTTGAGGTGCGGTAACTAACGCAAGGGCTCTCTCTCTGCCTGGGTTTCCTGGGTTGGTGATAAACCGATTGGTCGCCCGTCAGATGGCCAAGAATACCTTGTCGTCTCGGACTAGAGTAATACTGATTTCAAGACCCAAGCACAAATCGCGCAATCCATAAGATATGCTCGGAAGCTCGAGCTGGTGAAACCGAACGAATGTCGTTCGTAAGCACGTTTCTTGGATTCGTGGTAGGACGGGGGTCCTATCGTGCTCCAGAGATGGAGATGCCGAGGTAAACCGTGACTGACTCCCGTCTTATGAGCTCGGGAGCGGCCTCCACTCCGATAAGCAACAAATCCAATCTGCCTTTGACCTTTGACCTCGAACATAGGTACGTGACTTGGATCTGATGGCCACCAAAGCGAGTAATCCCTGGAGGGAATCTCTGGAAGCGACCACGTCTGAAAATCAAAATCGGAACTGGCTTCTTTGTGATCATTTCCACACGCGAAGAAAGACACTAAGGTACGTAGCATTGAATAGTGGGTCCCCCGGCGCCGCCCGTTTCCCCAGATTCTCAGGCCTCCACCGACTGACGTTTATGCGGGCCCCGAGCCGGCCGAGCGTGCACCGACTGACGGACAGGCCTTCGACGCGGCGTAAGATAGGGACTTATGGACGATATATTCGCAAAACATCATTCAGAGAACAAGGAAGCATCGATAAATTAAGAAAATATATTCATCGGCTCCTTATGTATTAGACACAACATGGTATAACCTCGACTTGTAAATGAATCAGCTTAGCGATACCGGATATCCGGATCAAGTACCACAGCCCATTCAGACGAATTCCCGCGGCGTCATATCACCCCCCATCCCCCAATCACTCACTCACTCACTTAATCTCCATCTCCCCAAACCTCCCATGCCCCGTCTCCCTCTCATGCCTCGCCGCATCCTTCGTCCCCTGCCCAATCCAGCCACACCCGTCCATCTCACACTTGATGACGAAATCCGTCGTGTCCGTATAATAATGCATCCTTTGCAGCTGCTCCGCCAGCTTTCTCGCTTTATCCAGCACCTCGTCGTCTTCCGTGCTCCACTTGGTCACGTCCACCTCCACGGGGTAACTCAGATCCATCGCAAACGCGATCCTGTCGTAGTGGATCCCTGAGTACAGGATCAAAATGCGGAGGGACTTGCCCTCGCCGAATTTGTCGATTCGGAGGCTCTTGACGTCGAGGGAGGAGATTTCAATGTTGTAGATGTCGGATAAAATGGAGAGTTCGATGGCGCCGCCCCAGACGTCGGACTGCAGCATGCGACTGGCGTAGACGGAGGGCGGGGAGCCAAGGATGGCGGCGGTGTATTCGGTGGGATGGGAGAGGATGTAATCGCTTACTTGCCGGCGGAGGACGGAGGAGGCGTTGGCGATGGAGAGGGCGCCGCCTACTGCTGTGACTGTTTTTTTGAAGGTGAGAAGGTTAGTTGAGGCGGGAGGTGAGAAAGGGGGTGAGTGGGTAAGTGAGGCGGTAAAAATGAGTGGTGAGTGTTTGATAGTGAAGGTTGCTCAGACGGGGTTTGGGTTATTCAAACTTACACATGCAGCTGTTATCGTCAGGCATCACACGGAGAACTAGATATCCGCCCCTTTCGGGCCACTCAAGAGATGTCTCATCTGGCTCGATCCCTTTTGGCGTAAACTTTGGCTTTTCTGGCTCTGCCGCCGGTAAAGGAGCGCTACTTTCAATAGGAGCAACGACGATGGTCTCACCACGCAGCTTCAGATCTTTGAGGGGCGTGGCTTTTTGCGCTTCCGCGCTGATGTCCAGGTCTTTCAAAGGATAGCCGTATTTGAGTGAAAACTTGTCGATCTTGGTGGCCGTTCTTATCTGAGCCACCAGGTCCTCCAAGATGGACTCGTCGTCGACTTCCAGGCGGGTTTGGCCACTTGGGGTCCTGAGACGTAACTGAATTCGGGGCATGGTCTGGGTTGATTGAGGTATGTGTTGTTGGTCGGTAATATATAAATGTCCTGATAGGGTTTCGCCTGAGGTTGGAGTTGATGGTGGTGAGGATATATAGGTATCGGTGAACGTCGAAGGTTATATTTAAGGCGTGGCAACTGTCGAAACTGGCCGAAAGTGAAAGGTTGGTTGGTATATAAGGTCTTCAGGTTGTTTCCTTACTTTGTGGGTGGTAAGCTTGGGTTTTTGTACACATGGCCTTGAGGCGTGCCTCTCTCACCAGAAAGGCTATGAATCTTTAGGAGTGAAGTGGAGGAGGTAGACAAACCAGGGGTTAAGGTACAAGTGGCAACAGTTCATGCAAGCGCGGCTGATTGAAACAATGTCACAATGTCAACCGAAGATGGGACGACAGCAAGCCGCACACTCAATCTGGTTTGTTGTCCAACAGATATGAAGTGTTCAGATGACAGAAAGAGGGATGCCGTTGATAGGGTGTCGTTCTTTTAACAGTCCGATATGGGTACAGGAAGGTACCACACTAAGTTGACTGAAGTGTTCCAGCTGACGGGAATTCCCACATGAACGGGGCGTCCAACGTCACTGTGGATTGGCGACACTATTAGCGTCCATGCCCGAACGTGACACTTTGACCCGTATTGCACAGCAGAAACACCACGCGGTCTGGGCCACTTTTCAAGAGTTCCATGTTGTGGGATACAATCGGGAATGTACAAAGAATAAACATGCCTCCAAAGAGTCTTCATGATGGAAGAGATCTGGTGTAGCTCCATGTACATGTAATGGTGGTCTCCGAGATGTAATGTAATGTAAAGATCTAGACCTTCAACCCCCGCCCGCCGAGCAAGGCGCTAAGCAGCTGCCCCCGGGGCTCTTCCCCTCCCGTCGCGGGGCTCGGGGCCGCAGTGGATCGGCCCTTCCGGCAGTCACGCACGGTCCAACCCACACAGCACCTAACAGACGGATGGTCAGGGGTGCATTCGTGGAAGGCGATCAACTTAACCCGTTACTGTCCATCTAAGCAACTAACGAGGGTTTGGCACGTCTAAGAGCACGGTTAAGACGTTAAGGTGGACACTCAAGTGCTGGACACCCGAACCAGTCACTGCCAATGCAGCAACCGACACCAATTGGACCCTCGTCTTTCGCGTGTTTCCCCAGGAAGAGCTAGCCATCACTACACTACGGCGTATATCATTCCCCGTCATTCCCCAAGCAATTCTACACGAGGTATCCTTGGTGGGCATCTTTTTTTTTTGAGAGATCGTCCTTCTTTTTCCCATCGACTCACACAGAACTGACTCGCGGCCCCGGCAACGGTACCCCAACCAACCGCCTACGTATTCCTCCAGCCAACAGAGCCAGGGCAGCCAACACGCCAACCAACTGCCAAACACAGGCTGCGGCTCCAGCGGGCGTCTGTGCCTGTGTCTGTGTTCTGGATCGCGCGTGGAGGACCGTGTATGTGTGAGAGAGAAGAGCACGCTTGTGTGTTGGTTTGTGCGTGTGTCTGGCAGAAACACGTTGGAGAAACAAGAGACAAACCGACCGGGAAGAGGAGTCTAGGAATCCACCCTTGCGCAACAAGTCCCAGCTCTCTTACAATCTGGCCTCCCGTCACCACATCCCCGTAGCTTGCGTACCTAGGAGCTTGCGTAGCCGCGATGCCCACTTTGCGCGAACGCCCCAGCAGAGGCGACTCTTCCCCCGCCAAGAGGAACACCACTTCCTCAGCTGCTGCTTCGACCAGAACAAACGCCAGAACCACGCGACGACAGTCCAGCAACGCCAACAGCAATACCATGGCTGCTGCCCCGACCCGTGACGCGATCGAGGTACGCGAGTCCATCGAGGCCAAGGGCGACGTCGATGACGATGTGGAGATGGAGGATGCCGATGCCGATGCGAAAGACAACGAACCACGCAAAGCCGCCAACAAGGGCAAAGATGCCGACATGGCCCATGACCGAGACAATGACGACGACGACGAAAAAGACCAAGATGAGGACGAGGACGAGGATGAAGAAGAGAGTGATTCCGCCAAGGATCTCTTACAGCTAATCAGAGACACGTCCGAGTACCTGTGTCGGTACACCATCAAGGTGGATGGAGAGTCAGTCACCCTATGGCCCCCGCGTCCAGGTACACATGCTGTGCCTCACGACCTATCGGCACGCTAACCGTCTTGTTGTCTGTAGGGACTACGAGATTGCCTCTGGCTTCCAGCGATTAGTTAATAAGCGGAGCCTACCAGATTACTTTGAGGTTATCAAGACGCCAATGGCCTTCAGCACCATCAGGGTATGTTGACACATGCCTTGCCTTCCTGCACCATGAAACTGGAGCTGACCATGTTCTTCGCAACAACTACAGGGCAAGCTGGGCAAAAAGACATACACAAGCTTCAACGAGTTCGTTCAGGACGTGACCCGCATATGCCACAACGCACAAGTTTACAATAGGCCCTCCGCTCCCATCTTCTCCGACGCCGGCCGGTTGCTCGAGGTTTTCAAAGAAAGCTTGCCGAACTCGTCAAGAAGGGCGAAATTACCGAAAAAGACGCCGAGATCCCCGACTACGGTCCGTTACCCGAGTTTGAAGATTCGCCAACTCCCGACGAGGAAGAGGAAGAGGAAGAGGAGGAAGAGAGGAAGAATCAGAATCAGATGACATCAGAATCAGATGACTCAGATGATGTCGACTCGGATGGGCGGCGCCGGCGTGGATGGAGACGCGGTGGACGATCTCGAAGAAGGAAACAAGACGATGATGATGAGGCCCAAAAGAAGCACACGAGACCCATCAAGGTCTTCACGCCGCAAGAGGCCAGGATACAGGCCCTGCTCAAGGGGTTGCGAAAATTCAAGAACGAAAATGGCCATGTGCGAATCAATCACTTTCAGAGGCTACCTGACAAGTCAGAAAGTCCGGCATACTACGCCGTCGTGCGGAACCCGATTGCGCTGGATATGATCATCACGAAGCACAAGCGTAAAAGGTACCAGAATATCGACCAAGTACTCCAGGACCTGGAACTCATGTTTGAGAATGCGAAGCTCTTCCACAAACAGGGGAGTGAAGAGTATGAAGATGCGGTGGAACTACAAAAAGAGGCGCGCGCCCTCGTGGAGGAGGAAAAATCGAAGCCCGACGACGACTTTCGCGATGCAGATGGAAAGCTGCCCTTGGACAGCATTGAGCACGGAGGCGAGCTGTGGCGAGTGGGTATGTGTTTATCCGGCCCCCAACGAAAGGCGTAAACATAAGTTCAGATGACTGACTATGATTATAGGTGACTGGGTTCACATCCGCAATGCGAACGATCTTTCCAAGCCCGTCGTCGCGCAGATCTACCGAATGTGGTCGGATAAGTCTGGCCAGAAGTGGGTGAACGCTTGCTGGTTCTATCGCCCAGAACAGACGGTCCATCGCTATGACAAGTTCTTTTACGAGAACGAGGTGGTCAAGACAGCCCAATATCGCGACCACCGGATCGAAGAAGTTGAGGACCGATGCTTTGTGATGTTCATTACCCGCTACCCCAAGGGTCGCCCTCGCGGATTGCCTCATAACAATATGGTGTATGTCTGCGAGGCGCGGTATAACGAAGAGAGATGCAAGTTCAACAAGGTCAAAACGTGGTCCAGCTGTCTGCCCGAAGAGGTTCGCGACCAGGACTATGAGATGGATCTCTGGCCCGTACCGCGCACCATGAGAAAGTTCCCCAGTCCCATCAAACATCTACTGCAAGCCGACGCCAAAGAGACGGATGACTTGCCGAAACCGACGTGGAGGAGCCCGAATGCGCCTCCCCTCATTGGCGCGGTCCACCGTCGCCCTCGTGAGCCCAATGTAAGCAAAGTTGATTTCCTAGAGCGTCATTCTCTGAATTGTTTTCTGTTGCGAGGTTGCCAGGCCCGTAAAAGAGCCGCTCCCTCCAGAGAGGAGGAGAAGAGCAAACAAAGTGGCTCTTCAATGCGTGCTTTTGAGAATTTTCCAAACCCCACATTCATCCATCCCATTCACCTTTTCCTCGGTGCTTCTTCCTGGTTCTATCATCCCGTCCTTCATGTTTGATTTCACTCCTCGTTCGCAGCCTTTACTCTTCACGACTCGGCCCATCCTCTCCCACGCCCGGGTCATCCCTCGTTTTGGGACCGAGTAGCAAATTGCCCTGTGCTAGTGGCCAAAGTCAACCTGTCAGTGCCTCCCTTGTACTTTCTCATTTTTTTTCTTCAATCTTGGCTCGTTCTCAACTTTCGAGTTTAGTCTTTTCTTTCCCCGCCTGTCACTTCCTCTATCCCTTGAATTGGTACACAATCTTCCTCTTTCACCCATTCTAAACATTTTTCCTCCCCTTGCGATCTGCCTCTTGTCGCGCCAACGGCTCTCGGCACACACAAGGCACCCTGCGCGCTTCCGCCAAACCTTCTTTGCATTACCTTGGACAAAAGCTTGTCGCACCTCCCTGCTCTTCCCCTACCTCCACTGTGGGACAGACTAGGAAACCGTTTGGAAGAGAAGCGTATGAAGTAGTAAGCTAACGACATATTTCTCGAACAAGGAGTCGCCTCCGCCAGAAGCTCACCCAATATCCATCGCGCCTGTGCCGCTGGCTATCGGTCCTGGTCCTGGCCCCGGATCATCGCACCGTCCGTCCTTCTCGGCCCATCCAGGAACACCAACATTCCATCAGTCTGTCGCTCCCGCGCCTGGACCTGGTGGGCACGTCGCGTTTGGAGGTCAACACTACGTACAACATTTCGCACCACGGCAGCAGCAGCCGCCCCAAGGTCACGGCATCGCTCCTCACATCGTCCAGATTCACGGTCATCCGCAGTCGCACCCGCCGCCGCCGATTCACCAATATCAACCGCAGCTGCAACCGCATCCCCATCAGGGTCTCCATCAGCAGCCACTAGGACCCCAGCACCAGCACCAGCCAATGCCCGGCATGCCCATGCACGTGCAGCCCCATCATCCCGGGATGCCCCCGATGCAGCCAAGCCCCCATCATTACCCACACCAGCAGCCTCCTCCTTACTCGCACCAACAACCTCCTCCGTACCACGGTCCCGGGCCACAACACGTTCCAATTCCTCAGCCTCCACACCAACCCCCGCCA